GCTTTTCAATCCCCAATTCCCTTTTAGGCTGTACTCCTATCTACATAGTAGCTAATCATCTGGCTGCCTGCGGAACAGTTCAATGGCATCCGTTCCTCCGTCGAGTTAAACCTGGCCTGTTTCGACGCTGAACTGGTGTTATCGACCAGATGCTCTCACTGGCCATTAATCGTGCAGTTGAGAAGCTGATTAACTTGTGGCACCAAATAAAACAGCGCTTGTTGACACCCCCGGTTCCGCCCAGGCCAAAGGTCCCCTATTTTCGTTCCAAAAAATACCTAGGACTTCCACTGGGATCGAACCCATCGTACGTTGGACTTAAAGTACGATAGCCATTCTACGTTATTTATCGAGGGATGAAGATGTCCCGCATTCAACGACGACCTCGTGCGGAGGTCTAGAACATTGTGCATATCAAAGCTACTGTTCTGATCGCTTCTCCAGACGAGTTCTGCGTCCCTCTACACCCTGCTCTTCTATTAACCCTACCATATATTCCCCCACCACGTCGTCTACTGCCAGTTCCTCCATATCGGCTGCCACCAACTGTAAAATCTTAATGGACTTCCAACCTCCAAGTCGCAGGACACACTCAATCTCGTGTCGTTCTCTTACATATACGGCACATGCAGTTGGCATCATGTTCACCTTCTCGATCGATTGATAACTCATGCTTTTGAACGTGGACATTTGTTTCAGCATCGCTAAACGCCACCTTCGGGACGGTGTACTAGGACAGTTCACCCTGTGATTGTCCGTACGGCTAAATTAGTCGTCTTTCTGTTTGGCTCACGCTGCTGTAGCTGCACAGGACAAAACACTGAGGCGAGAAGAACTAGAAGCCAAGCAATGCAAACCTTAATTTTATTCTCCCAAAAGTGATCACCTACCTAATCACACTATAATCTACTTGGATAGGAACCCCTTGCCGAGTACTTCACAGTAAAGCAGACTTGCATCTTCTTGAGGGCAAGGACTTCACTGTATCCAATAATGGCAAGCCCCTTTCTTTTTATGTCAATTCGAACTCTAGCAAGCTCAACCGCTCGACCATCGAATTTCAACACAGCTTCTAGCTGGGAAAGTGATTTTCGGCTCAAATAGGCTTAAGTACTAAGTCGTTAATTCTAATTAAATAAAGGTCCTGAACAGCAAATAGGCAGTATTCACAACTCCAGTGTGATTCTGCGCAGGCATTTCGAAACTTGCAAAACCGAAGTTAAATGCACTTCTTTTTCTGTAGTGGTCCGTTTTTTTGTCATAGATGGACTATCTATTGACTTGTTACTAGGCATGTGACCATTGAATTCCCAAAGCCATTATGCAGCGAGAAGGCTGGCAGAGACCACGATGAGAAGAGTAACAATACCAAAAACTTTTAATAGGGAAGGAACGATCGGTGATAAGGACGCATTGGTCAAAATTATTGTGTAGATAATTTGCGCCCTCTGGTTTATAGGTTGCTTATGCAAGTCGAGAGAGCGGTTCCCACTAACAGACATAAATACACCTGAGGTAACGCCCACCATAAGCTCCTCGGGTGGTTGGAATTCCATTCCTGACAGTATCCTTCTGCCCGCTTCATGTTCCAGTTAAGCATAAAACCTACTATTTACCTTGAAGTGACCAGGTCTTTGTGGGTAATAGTCGGCCATTAACTTGCTTGTGATAAGGGCAGCAGGACATGCTGATCAGTATAGAACACTTTGCATGCGGTCGTACCATGTACCTAGGTAGAAGGGGTAGAGGGATAAGCAATTATGGCAAGACTAATGCTAGGACGGCCCAGAACGGGAGTCATCACTCGGGCCGTCCTGAGGGTAAGAGAACCAAGGAAGCCCACGCGCCAGCGGGTGCATACAGAACAGGCCAAGA